GATAACGTTCGGAACCTGATGGGGTCCCACAGTTCAGAGGACGGTTGGAACCTGATGGGGTCCCACACTTCAGGGAACATTCGGAACCTGATGGGGTCCCACACTTCAGGGAACATTCGGATCCTGATGGGGTCCCACAGTTCAGGGAACATTAGCAACCTGATGGGGTCCCACAGTTCAGGGAATGTTCAGAACCTGATTGGGGCCCTATGGCACTTATCACTGCTATGTAACAAACCCACTAGAAGACTTCTATGGGGCCCTCTCTTCCCCCACTCATGTCCCCAACGGCCTGGTTTGCTGTTCTGAATTACGGGTGGTGTCCCACTCACCCTTCTGGCATGAATGTCATTCTGAAACCCATCGGCAGATCATGACAAAGGGCAGAATCTTCAGCAGAAGGCAGAGGAGGTCCGGAATACGGTGCTTACGGTATCTACAATTACCCCTAGATGGGGGACCCTACAGACCTGTTTTGGTGGCTGGAGTCCTTCCTTAGATGTCTCCATGATGGTGCCTGGTAGACCACTGATGGGGTCGTCCCACAGTTCAGGGAACGTTTCGAATCTGATGGGGTCCCACAGTTCAGGGGACGTTTGGAACCTGATGGTGCCTGGCAGACTTTCCATTCAGAAGATGGTGGTGACCTGTCCAGGACTTTATTATTGGGGAACAAGGAAAGGATTTGTATTAGAACCTTCCATGGGAAGCCATTACCTGTCAACCACGGAGGACATCACCAGACCTCCAATATATACAATATAAAGGACAATCTGAGGTAACCCATGGCAACCGCTCAGCAGACCAAGGTAAGCAAACTCGGAATGGTTGCTATAAGTGACCAAACCGGTTCATGCCGGATAAGCTCCATAAAAGGTCATCAGAAATTGTGGCGGAAGAACTCCGGCCAAACGGCCAAATACACAACGAGAGCTAGAAACTGATTTCTGTGATTTGTCTTCGACCCGTCTGATACGACCTCGGATGGAGCAGCAGAACACTGCTGAGGTTGTCCCTCCCACCACCGACCTCCCGAGACCTGGAATCTGCTGGATTGTCAATGCCATACAACCTGATTGGTTCACAGTAATACCCCCCCCCCCCAGTCCTGAGGGAAGGGGTTTCAATTCTGATAAATACAGAACTGGATTCATGGAGGCTTCCATATCTGGAGTTCACCTCGTGTCCCTTCACAGCCGGCCTGTTACCGGAGATAATCCCTACCATTCGTATTGGTCAGCCATCATTCCCCTAACAATGGCCAGAGACACAGGATCTCCTCCGGAGGTCGGCTGCCATACATGAAACAATGGATATACATGTGTGTGTGCGTGTGCATGTCAACTTCAATACACGTGTATGTGTGGGCGTGTCTACTGCAATACACGTGTATCAAACTAAGCAATGTGGGCACTATGGCTTGAATTATAAACCTCCTCCCCCACTGACCTCGCCATGTCCTTCAGTATAGGCCTACCCTCCCCCACTGACCCCACCATGACCGGCTGCCAAGACCCTCCTCCCTCTCTAACCTTACCGTGACCACCTTGACCTTCAGTATGGGCCTACCCTCCCCCACTGACCCCACCATGACCCTGCCAACCCTCCTCCCCCCACCATGACCCCTGCCAAGACCCAAGACTCCCTCTCTAACCTTACTGTGACCTTCCTTCAGTATGGGCCTACCCTCCCCCACTGACCCCATCCATGACCGGCTGCCAAGACCCTCCTCCCTCCTAACCCTCTAACCTTACCGTGACCTTCAGTATAGGCCTACCCTCCCCCACTGACCCCACCATGACCGGCTGCCAAGACCCTCCTCCCTCTCTAACCTTACCGTGACCTTCAGTATGGGCCTACCCTCCCCCACTGACCCCATCATGACCGGCTGCCAAGACCCTCCTCCCTCTCTAACCTTACCGTGACCTTCAGTATAGGCCTACCCCCTCCCCCACTGACCCCCTCCCCATGACCCTTCTGCCAAGACCCTCCTCCCTCTCCCTCTCTAACCTTACCGTGACCTTCAGTATAGGCCCCCCACTGACCCTCCCCCTCCCTCTGACCCCATCATGACCGGCTGCCAAGACCCTCCTCCCTCTCTAACCTTACCGTATGTGACCTTCAGTATGGGCTTACCCTCCCCCACTGACCCCATCATGACCGGCTGCCAAGACCCTCCTCCCTCTCTAACCTTACCATGACCTTCAGTATGGGCCTTCCCTCCCCCACTGACCCCCACCATGACCGGCTGCCAAGACCCTCCTCCCTCTCTAACCTTACCGTGACCTTCAGTAGGGCCTTCCCTCCCCCACTGACCCCACCATGACCAGGCTGCCAAGACCCTCCTCCCTCTCTAACCTTACCATGACCTTCAGTATGGCCTACCCTCCCCCACTGACCCCATCATGACCGGCTACCAAGACCCTCCTCCCTCTCTAACCTTTCATGTATGTGACCTTCAGTATAGGCCTACCCTCCCCCACTGACCCCATCCATGACCGGCTGCCAAGACCCTCCTCCCTCTCTAACCTTTCCGTGACCTTTAGTAAAAAAAAATCTACACTAATTCTAACCCACTGATCTCACCACGACCTCCTGCATGGATGCTCCTCCCTCTCTAACCCTTACCATGATCTTCAGTATAGATCTACCCTCTCCTACTGGTCACAACATCATCTTCTCCATAGACCCTCCTCCCCCAATGAAACGTTGTGCCCCTCCTTAGAGGTTCCTCAACTGATGCTCCACCCATTGCCCCTCCTTAGAAGTTCCTCATCTGATGCTCCACCTTCTGCCTCCAGACCTCACTGATGCTTCCACCCTCTGACCCTCCTTAGAGGTTCCTCAACTGATGCTCCACCTTCTGCCTCTTCTTATAGACTTCACTAATGATGCTCCACCCTCTGCCCCCCTTTAGAGATTCCTCAACTGATGCTCCACCTTCTGCCCCCCTCTTTATAGTTCTCCCACTCAACTGATCCTTATAGCTTCCTACTGATGCTCCACCTTCTGCCCCTTCTTATAGGTTCCTCAACTGATGCTCCACCCTCTCTACTTATAGACTTCACTACTGATGCTCCACCCTCTGCCCCTCCTTAGGTTCCTCAACTGATGCTCACCCTCCTCAACTTCCTCAACTGATGCTCCACCTTTTGCCTCTCCTTATAGACTTCATCTACTGATGCTTCCACCCTGATGACCCCCCTCCTTAGAGCTTCCTCAACTGATGCTCCACCCTCTGCGTCTTCCTTAGATGCTTCACTACTGATGCTCCACCCTCTTCCTCAATGCCCCCCCCCCCCCAGATGACCATTCCCCTCAACTCAACTGATGCTCCACCTTCTGCCTCTCTTATAGACCTTACTGAGCTTCCTCACTGATGCTCCACCCTCTCCTTATAGACCATTACTCCACCCTTATAGACTTCACTCACTGATGCTCCATGCGTCCTTATAGACCACTTGACCCACCCTTAAGAGATTCCTCAACTGATGCTCCACCTTCTGCCTCTCCTTATAGACTTCACTAACTGATGCTCCACCTCTGCCCTCCTTAGAAGTTCCTCAAGATTTCTCTGTCTCTCCTTATAGACTTCACTACTAATGATTTGCTCCACCTCCACCCTCTGCCCCTCCTTAGAGCTTCCTCAACTGATGCTCCACCTTCTGCCTCTCCTTATAGACTTCACTACTGATGCTCTGCACTTCACTACTGATCTGCCCTCTGCCCCTACTTATAGGTTCCTCAACTGATGCTCCACCCTCTGTCTCTCCTTATAGACTTCACTACTGATGATGATCCACCCTCTGCCCCTTCTTATAGGTTCTGCTCAACTGATGCTTCTCCCTCTGCCCCTCCTTAGAGGTTCCTCAACTGATGCTCCACCCTCCTCTCCTTATAGACAACTGATGCTCCACCCTCTGTCTCTCCTTATTGTCTTCACTACTGATCTTCTGTCTCTCCTTAACTTCACTACTGATGCTCCACCCTCTGTCTCTCCTTATTGTCTTCACTACTGATGCTCCACCCTCTGCCCGTCCTTAAAGGTTCCTCAACTGATGCTCCACGTTCCGCCCCTCCTTCTTCTGATGTTTCATTGTCATCTTCCATCATACTTCACTCCTCTACAGTCTCCCTTTTAACTAACAGCAAAGACTTCTCTTCAGTTGAGTTGCTCCACCCAGATTGTGAGATTTTACCTTTGTCCTCATTGTCTTCCTTCAACTGACCCTATACCTTGTGAACACCTCATGTTTCTCTTGATCTAAGTATGGCGGGTACAACATATCACTGTGGCCTTCCATATTTATATCAGGTAGGTCAATCATGAAATGCACAAGGCATGTGATCTGCAGAGCTCCACTCGGGTCTCTGGATCTTCCTGGCTACAGACCTAACAACCTACAAATGTGGATGACCACCAGATATCCAAAAACTGAAAACAGCAAAGCCGCCATTTCCTGCTCTATGTCGGATTGTATGAACTCTCTGATGGAACAGATGAGGTCCCAGACACGTCACACTCCCACTTTTTTGGTCCTTTTTATTTCGGTTGCTCGGAATTAAGTGTTCAGTATAAATGGTGACATTTTGTTGCGTGGTGTCAATAGACTTGTCATGCTTTGTACAGTTCAGATTAGTCTTTACAGTCCTTCGTATGAAAATCATTTCCTTGGACTAATAATACAGAGAATTGTGAATATCGGTGAAATAGGTTGGTTAGAACTGGTGGGAGGACCGCCCATCCTCCGGGAGAGACACACATTTTACAGATTTCTCTTCATTGAGTCGAGGATTGCATCTTCTAGCAATGGTCTAGTCAAGGTCTTGGCAGTCATCAGTCCAGATCATCTGCAGTGGTCCTTCCCATAGTCCATTCATTACTGACTTCCATATACCAAAAAGTGTCCTGGAATTGTTCTCTGTGTACCGTGAAATGGGTTTACCAAGCTCCACCCACTTTTCAGTTTTTCTGTTCATTTTGGCCTGATTTTATGATTTTAATTACCAATATTACGGTCGTGATCCCTCCATCTGTTGTGTCCTGATGGTGAAACGATTAACATGCACAGGGATGGGCACCACACAATTTTAGGGTTGCGGACGGGTTCTCCTGCACGGCTGTTGACATTCCCAGCTTTGATGCGTTTCCATTTGGCTCTGCGGTTCTGAAACCAAATTTTGACTTGGACCTCGCTGAGCTTCAACGTGTGGGCAATCTGAGACCTCTCAGTCAGGGAGAGGTACTTCTTACAATGGAACTCCTTCTCCAGCTCCAGGAGCTGCTCGCTGGTGAAGGCAGTTCTGCGTCTGCGACTTTTCCCTGCGGTCCCGGCTCTGTCTTTTCCTAGGTCCTGTGCACCGTTCTTTCCTTTACCTCGGGGTCTTGTTGGGCCATTTCCATGATCCTGAAGATTCTCATCTCCACAGCTGTCTCCAGAAGTTTCGTCATCTTCATGGTCGCTACAAGCGGACTCCGACAATCGTCCTGCTGTCTTCTCCTCATCAGAGCTGCACAACTTTCCATCTCCTGGAAGGACAGAACATGGCAGCGAATTAGAAGGCTCTTTATGGTGGAGACCACCAACCGCTCAAAGTGACTCCACACCACCCACCTCATTATAAACTGTTGGAGCCCACATGGGGGGTCACCAAGTTCTCCCTACTACTCCACATATCTCAAATATATAAAATATTGAACTATTACAATTCTTAGATGTAGTGGCTGCATTAGTTTTCTTTTTTTTCTAGGCTTCATTTATTATCAACTTCCTTCCAGTTACCCTTCCTGTCCTTTTATGTCTACACCCCTTTCCCGTTGTACCTATAGAGGAAGCCATGGTTGTCACATTGACTGGACATCAAACATGTCTGCCGTCCTTCATCTCCATTAAATGTTGGATTGATGGGATTAGTAGTTTCCACAATAAAGGGAAGAATGTTTTGTCTTTTCAGCTCACAGGAATTAACATTTCTGGCAGGATCTCCAGTAACTTTCTGTACCCCCACCTAAATTACCGGACTCTTCCTTCCATCATCCTGGGATGAGGACCAGGGATCCCCTCCTCCCCCCACCTGGATTACCGGACTCTTCCTTCCATCATCCTGGGATGAGGACCAGGGATCCCCTCCTCCCCCCACCTGGATTACCGGACTCTTCCTTCCATCATCCTGGGATCAGGACCAGGGATCCCCTCCTCCCCCCACCTGGATTACCGGACTCTTCCTTCCATCATCCTGGGATCAGGACCAGGGATCCCCTCCTCCCCCCACCTGGATTACCGGACTCTTCCTTCCATCATCCTGGGATCAGGACCAGGGATCCCCTCCTCCCCCCACCTGGATTACCGGACTCTTCCTTCCATCATCCTGGGATCAGGACCAGGGATCCCTCCTCCTCCCCCCACCTGGATTACCGGACTCTTCCTTCCATCATCCTGGGATCAGGACCAGGGATCCCTTCCTCCCCCCACCTGGATTACCGGACTCTTCCTTCCATCATCCTGGGATCAGGACCAGGGATCCCCTCCTCCCCCCACCTGGATTACCGGACTCTTCCTTCCATCATTCTGGGATCAGGACCAGGGATCCCTTCCTCCCCCCACCTGGATTACCGGACTCTTCCTACCTTCATCCTGGGATCAGGACCAGGGATCCCTTCCTCCCCCCACCTGGATTACCGGACTCTTCCTACCTTCATCCTGGGATCAGGACCAGGGATCCCTTCCTCCCCCACCAGGATTACCAGACTCTTCCTGTCATCATCCTGGGATCAGGACCAGGGATCCCTTCCTCCCCCCACCTGGATTACCGGACTCTTCCTTCCATCATCCTGGGATCAGGACCAGGGATCCCTTCCTCCCCCCACCTGGATTACCGGACTCTTCCTTCCATCATCCTGGGATCAGGACCAGGGATCCCTTCCTCCCCCCACCTGGATTACCGGACTCTTCCTTCCATCATCCTGGGATCAGGACCAGGGATCCCCTTCCTCCCCCCACCTGGATTACCGGACTCTTCCTTCCATCATCCTGGGATCAGGACCAGGGATCCCTTCCCCCCACCTGGATTACCGGACTCTTCCTTCCATCATCCTGGGATCAGGACCAGGGATCCCTCCTCCCCCCACCTGGATTACCGGACTCTTCCTTCCATCATCCTGGGATCAGGACCAGGGATCCCTTCCTCCCCCCAACTGGATTACCGGACTCTTCCTTCCATCATCCTGGGATCAGGACCAGGGATCCCTCCTCCCCCCACCTGGATTACCGGACTCTTCCTTCCATCATCCTGGGATCAGGACCAGGGATCCCTCCTCCCCCAACCTGGATTACCGACTCTTCCTTCCATCATCCTGGGATCAGGACCAGGGATCCCTCCTCCCCCCCCCCTGGATTACCGGATTACCGGACTCTTCCTTCCATTCATTCCTGGGATCAGGACCAGGGATCCCTTCCTTCCCCCCTGGATTACCAGGACTCTTCCTTCCATCATCCTGGGATCAGGACCAGGGATCCCTCCTCCCCCCACCTGGATTACCGGACTCTTCCTACCTTCATCCTGGGATCAGGACCAGGGATCCCTTCCTCCCCCACCTGGATTACCGGACTCTTCCTGTCATCATCCTGGGATCAGGACCAGGGATCCCTTCCTCCCCCCACCTGGATTACCGGACTCTTCCTTCCTTCATCCTGGGATCAGGACCAGGGATCCCTTCCTTCCCCCCACCTGGATTACCGGACTCTTCCTTCCATCATCCTGGGATAGGACCAGGGATCCCTTCCTCCCCCCACCTGGATTACCAGGACTCTTCCTTCCATCATCCTGGGATCAGGACCAGGGATCCCTTCCTCCCCCACCTGGATTACCGGACTCTTCCTACCTTCATCCTGGGATCAGGACCAGGGATCCCTTCCTCCCCCCACCTGGATTACCGGACTCTTCCTTCCATCATCCTGGGATCAGGACCAGGGATCCCTTCCTCCCCCCACCTGGATTACCGGACTCTTCCTTCCTTCATCCTGGGATCAGGACCAGGGATCCCTTCCTCCCCCCACCTGGATTACCGGACTCTTCCTGTCATCATCCTGGGATCAGGACCAGGGATCCCTTCCCCCACCTGGATTACCGGACTCTTCCTTCCATTATCCTGGGATCAGGACCAGGGATCCCTTCCCCCCCACCTGGATTACCGGACTCTTCCTTCATCATCCTGGGATCAGGACCAGGGATCCCTTCCTCCCCCACCTGGGATTACCGGACTCTTCCTACCTTCATCCTGGGATCAGGACCAGGGATCCCTTCCTCCCCCCACCTGGATTACCGGACTCTTCCTTCCTTCATCCTGGGATCAGGACCAGGGATCCCTTCCTCCCCCCACCTGGATTACCGGACTCTTCCTACCTTCATCCTGGGATCAGGACCAGGGATCCCTCCCCCCCACCTGGATTACCGGACTCTTCCTTCCATCATCCTGGGATCAGGACCAGGGATCCCTTCCTCCCCCCCTGGATTACCGGACTCTTCCTGTCCATCATCCCGGGATCAGGACCAGGGATCCCTTCCCCCCCCACCTGGATTACCGGACTCTTCCTTCCTTCATCCTGGGATCAGGACCAGGGATCCCTTCCTCCCCCCACCTGGATTACTGGACTCTTCCTTCCATCATTCTGGGATCAGGACCAGGGATCCCTTCCCCCCCCACCTGGATTACCGGACTCTTCCTTCCTTCATCCTGGGATCAGGACCAGGGATCCCTTCCTCCCCCACCTGGATTACCGACTCTTCCTGTCATCATCCTGGGATCAGGACCAGGGATCCCTTCCCCCACCTGGATTACCGGACTCTTCCTGCCATCATCCTGGGATCAGGACCAGGGATCCCTTCCCCCCCACCTGGATTACCGGACTCTTCCTTCCATCATCCTGGGATCAGGACCAGGGATCCCTTCCTCCCCCCACCTGGATTACCGGACTCTTCCTTCCATCATCCTGGGATCAGGACCAGGGATCCCTTCCTCCCCCTCCTGGATTACTGGACTCTTCCTTCCATCATCCTGGGATCAGGACCAGGGATCCCTTCCCCCCCCACCTGGATTACCGGACTCTTCCTGCCATCATCCTGGGATCAGGACCAGGGATCCCTTCCCCCCCCACCTGGATTACCGGACTCTTCCTTCCTTCATCCTGGGATCAGGACCAGGGATCCCTTCCCCCCCTCACCTGGATTACCGGACTCTTCCTTCCATCATCCTGGGATCAGGACCAGGGATCCCTTCCTCCCCCCACCTGGATTACCGGACTCTTCCTGTCCATCATCCTGGGATCAGGACCAGGGATCCCTTCCCCCACCTGGATTACCGGACTTTTCCTACCTTCATCCTGGGATCAGGACCAGGGATCCCTTCCTCCCCCCACCTGGATTACCGGACTCTTCCTTCCATCATCCTGGGATCAGGACCAGGGATCCCTTCCCCCTCCTGGGATTACCGGACTCTTCCTACCATCATCCTGGGATCAGGACCAGGGATCCCTTCCCCCCCCCTGGATTACCGGACTCTTCCTTCCATCATCCTGGGATCAGGACCAGGGATCCCTTCCTCCCCCCACCTGGATTACCGGACTCTTCCTTCCTTCATCCTGGGATCAGGACCAGGGATCCCTTCCTCCCCCCACCTGGATTACCAGACTCTTCCTTCCATCATCCTGAGATCAGGACCAGGGATCCCTTCCCCCCCACCTGGATTACCAGACTCTTCCTGCCATCATCCTGGGATCAGGACCAGGGATCCCTTCCCCCTCCTGGGATTACCGGACTCTTCCTACCTTCATCCTGGGATCAGGACCAGGGATCCCTTCCCCCCCCACCTGGATTACCGGACTCTTCCTTCCATCATCCTGGGATCAGGACCAGGGATCCCTTCCCCCACCTGGATTACCGGACTCTTCCTACCTTCATCCTGGGATCAGGACCAGGGATCCCTTCCCCCCCACCTGGATTACCGGACTCTTCCTTCCTTCATCCTGGGATCAGGACCAGGGATCCCTCCCCCACCTGGATTACCGGACTCTTCCTTCCTTCATCCTGGGATCAGGACCAGGGATCCCTTCCTCCCCCCCCCCCTGGATTACCCGACTCTTCCTTCCTTCATCCTGGGATCAGGACCAGGGATCCCTTCCTCCCCCACCTGGATTACCGGACTCTTCCTTCCTTCATCCTGGGATCAGGACCAGGGATCCCTTCCCCCCCCCTCACCTGGATTACCCGGACTCTTCCTTCCTTCATCCTAGGGATCAGGACCAGGGATCCCTTCCTCCCCCCACCTGGATTACCGGACTCTTCCTTCCATCATCCTGGGATCAGGACCAGGGATCCCTTCCCCCCA